AGGACTGCAGTGACAAGTGAAGCCACATTTCCCTGCCGGATACGTATCTCATTGCAGTACCCCAAAAGTTGCAAATTTTGAATAAAAGGGGCTAATATTTCGAGCCAAAGGTCAGGATTCTCATTTATGTAATCTTGTATGCTCAATTCTCTCAGCTTCACAGAGCTGATTTCCAAACGATGAATGCCCGAAACACTATCCAGTTCCAAGCACTCCAAGTTAGGGCAACCAGATAATACCTTTTCCATTACACCATCAGTCAAAGGCAAGGACACAAGTGAAAGAGAAACGAGACTACTCCAATTAACACTACCAGTAGGGTTGAGTTGGCAGTACCGTAAAGCCAAATCCCTCAATGAATTATTTTTATATGCAAATTGAGGAAACTCATATCTTTGGTGATTTGTATTGATAATTCCAAGTGCAAAACTTTCAACATTAGCAACTTTAATTGCAAAATGTACCCATAAATCAATATCTTTAGAAAAACGATCCTCGTACCTAAGGCGCCAGACCCAGAATTTCTGGATTTTCTCGCAATTCCTCCAATAATAAGCTCTCTATGGGTGGAAGCCAAGTAAAAGAGATTGTCATTTTCGCTTCCACCAATTGGGAAGTGGAAATCGAGTGATATTGGAACAGACATCCAAAGAAACCTCCATTTTCTGGATAATACACTGGTTCTTACAACTGCTTTACTGTTCGACAACATAGAGAGAATGTGGAGTAGAATCGGGTCGGGTAAATCGCTGAGCCAATCTCGGTCTCCTCTCGCCATGACTTTCCTCTTCATTTCCATGGCGTACAACTTTCAGTTACAGTTTGGTAAAGTAATTTGAGTGTAACTTAGGTCAGTTTGGCAACTTAAATGAGATAATATCAAAATTTAGCATAACACAAAAGTACCTTTTTTAGTTTATTGGTATGATAAAGTCATGATAAATATTAGAGACCTAAATATAATTGTTGTTATAAAATAAAGACGGTAAAGTAAAGACAAGTATAGAGAGAAATTGATATATTATTCAACTTCAAATTCATGTACATAATGAACTGAAAATTCCTTTATTTATAGAAGAAAGGAAGCAGCTGCAAGGCTTTTCNNTGCCTCATTAAAAACCTTATAAGGAAAACCCTGTGGGAAAAAACCTTAGTAAGAAAAAAAGAGTACATCGCATATTTTACTCCCCTTGATGAAAACCTTGTTTCAAATATTTGAGTCTCCGCATTCCAATCTTGTATACCATCTTCTTAAAAG